AAATAAAATAATTTACCTCATTAAGAAATTCATCAGAAATATTCTGTGAATTATGTAATTTTTTTAATGCCACAGTCCTATCTTCACTAGTTCTTTTATTATTATGATTTGCTTTTTTATAACCCTTTAACCAAGTAGCTTTAGATATAGTTCCAAACCTACCTTCACCTATCTTTTCAATATTTGTTAAATTATTATAAGGAATCCATTGAAGACGATTACTATAATGATAATACGTTGCTTTAAATGTACTTTTAATCAACTCATCTAATGTTTCATTCCCACTAGTCCATCCTTCAGTTAATAGCTTTGAATCACATGATTGACACCATGAATAATCAGTATTATATCTATTGCAAGTTGAACATTCCCCATATTTTTCATCCCTTTCCTTTGAATATTCATCATTTTTGTCAGTAGAAGTATCATCATGGTGTTTATTTTCATCCAAAGTGTTTTCCATTGTGGTTTTTGTATAATTTGTCAAAAAAAATTTTTTTTAAAGAACTTTTTTTTTCAGCCACAAATATGTATCACAAAATATATTAGTATCCACTCTTTGATAAATATTTTGTAGATTCTAAACAAATTGAATCGGCTATACTAAGGCTCTGCATGAGCCAACTCGCAAGCCAGCTTGTGGGGAGCTTTACAAATGACTTACCTGAATGAGTTAAATCTTGCCATTTTATTACAATTAAATTATTTGTTATTTATTTATCTGGCTACTATAGCTGCGATATTAAATATCTTGAGAAATGTAATTATATTTAATAGTAATATTATTTATCTTTGGATTTTTTTTTTTTGAATTTGAATTTGGATGACAAATATGCACATTAAAATAATGTAATTTTTAATAGTCATAAATATACATACATTATTGTATTGCAATATTATTTATTTTCTTACTTTTCATATCAATGTTTCATTTTTTTATAATAGCATTAACAAGTTGAAGTAATGTACTTTTCAATATATCATATAATATATAAATAGTTTATTAATATGAAAATATATTAAAAATTTTAAAATTAATACATGTATATGAATATCCTATATTATCAAGTAAAAAGCCCCCATATCTAAATCATTTCAACTTGTTGAACTCTATTGCCATCCTGATTTGGTTGTCCCAAATGATTCTTTCCTCCAGAAATGCACAACAAAGGCACAAACTATGGTAGATTGATTACGGGTTTTGTCAAATCGAACAATGCAAAACTCCTGATCTTGGAAGCCTTGATGTTTCCCAACCTTTTCCCATATATATTTCAAAACATGACGCGCATTTTTTATTATGCTATTAAGATTGTTAAAACTTGACAATTGTGTCTAAAATCCCAATACATATAATGAATCATTGTACGTGTTTATTATTTTATATAGGCATGTTAAAACTTGGCAATTGGATTTTGTTATCAATTGAAAATTTCGAATATTTTTAAAATTATTAATTGTAAACAAAATATTATAAAACCCGAATATGTTATGCGAATCATTATTGATTTTGTTAAATACACAAGTGATTATGATAATAAAATTTCGTTATTTTTATTTCACACTATTCAATTATTTTCGACGATCTGCAAAATCCCCAATACTTATGGATAATAAATATCATCTAAAGCAACATAATAATAATTATAAAAGTATCTGTCTGTCATCCTCCCATATTTGATACTATTTCATATTTGATACTATTTTGAAGGAAAATTTTTAATTCCCTTAAGAGAGAAAGAAAGATGACGATCTAAATTCAGATCGTATGCATGTAAATGTTGATCAAAAATTATAAACAATTTGAAAGATTTGATCAAATAAAAAAAATCTTTAAAAAATGTCAAATGAACTTAATGCTGTATATGCAACAGATGAGTACGGTCGCCCATTTATTATCTTGAGAGAACAACAAAGAAAGAGTCGTCTCTCTGGAACGGAAGCTATAAAAGTATATAATTTTTTTTAAAAAATAATATACATAAATAAAAAAAAAATCACTTAACATTAATAAACAATAAATAGGCACATATTCTAGCAGCAAAAACTGTTTCAAACATTATCAAAACTTCTTTAGGCCCAAGAGGTATATTAGATAAATTGATTGATTATTAGATTGATTTATATTTATATTTAGATTATATTTACAGTAGATAGATACAATTTGTATAATAACAAATTATTTATTTAAAGGTTTGGATAAAATATTAATATCGCCTGATGGAGACATTACAGTAACCAATGATGGTGCTACTATTTTGACTCAAATGGAGGTTGAACATCAAATAGCAAAATTATTGGTTCAATTATCTAAATCTCAAGATGATGAAATTGGTGATGGAACAACCGGTGTTGTTGGTAAACTTACAATTTAAATCTTTTTGAGAGGAGGCTTTTTTAAAAAAAACCAAATTCATTTTTTATCTGATTAAATATTTTTTTAGTTCTTGCTGGTGCTCTTCTTGAACAAGCTGAAAATTTATTGGATAGTGGTGTTCATCCTATGCGTATAGCTGATGGATTTGAAAGAGCATGTAAAGTGGCTGTTGATCATCTTGATGAAATTTCTGATGTTGTAGAATTCACAAGAGAGAATACAGAAAATTTATTTAAAACTGCCATGACAAGTTTAGGTAGTAAAATGTAAGCAATATAATAATAATAATTATATAATATATTTTATTATTATATTTATTATTTATTATGTATTAAATATGGACTTACCTACTTGCAATTAGAGTATCAAAACATCATGAGCAATTTGCAAGAATTGCAGTTGATGCAGTTTTATCAGTAGCAGATTTGGAGCGTAAAGATGTTGATTTTGAATTGATTAAGGTCGATGGCAAAGCTGGTGGTTCACTTTCTGACACAACTTTGGTGAAAGGAGTTGTCGTTGACAAAGATATGTCACATCCACAAATGCCAAGACAAATCCGTGATGCAAAAATTGCAATCCTAACCTGTCCTTTTGAGCCTCCAAAACCTAAAACTAAACATAAATTAGACATCACATCAGTTGAGGAGTACAAAAAATTGCAAACATATGAAACAGAAAAATTTGAAAATATGATTAAATGTGTTAAAGATACTGGCGCAAATTTAGTTATTTGCCAATGGGGTTTTGATGATGAAGCCAATCATTTATTAATGCAGAATGATTTGCCTGCTGTTAGATGGGTTGGTGGACCAGAAATTGAGGTATAAAAAAGAATTTTTTTTTGTATATAATATATATATATATATATATATATATATATTAATATATATTAATATTTTTATCAATTCATTAGTTAATTGCAATCGCAACAAAGGGTAGAATTGTTCCACGTTTTGAAGATCTTAGACCTGATAAGCTTGGTAAAGCAGGCCTTGTAAGAGAAATTTCATTCGGCACAACCAAAGATAGAATGCTTGTTATTGAAGAATGTTCAAATTCACGTGCTGTAACTGTATTTGTTCGTGGCAGTAACAAAATGGTATATATATATATTGTTCTTGATTGATTAATTAAATAATTGATTAATAAAATAAAAATATCATTATATTGTTGTTGACATTATTTGTTATTTTAGATTATTGATGAAGCTAAACGAGCTATTCATGATGCACTCTGTGTAGTTAGAAATTTAGTCTGTGATAATCGTGTAGTTTACGGTGGTGGTGCAGCTGAAATTAGTTGTTCACTTGCTGTCGCAAAAGCAGCTGATCAGGTAAATATTTAATATTTTTTGAAGAAATCTTTTTTTTCAAACTAAACATTAATTTTTTTTTAAATTAAAAAAATTAAATAAAATAGATTTCATCAATTGAACAACATGCAGTTAGAGCTTTTGCTAATGCATTAGATGCTACACCTTTGGCTCTAGCAGAAAATTCAGGGTTGTCACCTATAGAAACTTTGGCTGATATAAAATCACGTCAAGTAACTGAAAATAATAGTAGACTTGGTATTGATTGTATGAACAATGGATCAAATGGTAAAAATATAGAAATAATTTTTGTTGATTAGATTTTTTTTTTTTTAAGAAAAAGAAAAAAATATTTATAGTGAAATTTATTTGTTTAAAAGATATGAAGGAATTATTTGTATATGATCCATTCATTTCTAAACGTCAACAATACCTTTTGGCCACACAGCTTGTAAAGATGATTCTCAAGATTGATGATGTAAATAACTAATTATTATTATTTATAAAGTTTCTTCTATTGTCATTTAAGTTTTATATTTTAACTAATTAATCATTTATTTTTTATTTGTGTGCTAAAATTAGGTTATAACTGTTACTGCTGAAAATTAACATTAATAATAATTTAATAAATAATTGTTTCCTTTTGCTTAATTTTTTATGTATCAATCAATATTTTTTACACTTGTTAAATTAATCAATCAATAAATGATATATTACTATTTTATGACTTTTTGAATTGTATCTATTCTTTGTGGTCCTCCCTATTCATCATTGACACCTTCATCTCATCTTCACCTTTGCAATCAATGAATCATCATTAGAGGAAAATGATGAGTTAAAGTAATTAGAAAAGAACATCGACCATGAAAATGTAAAATATGATGCGGATATTTGAATTGAGGTCTTGATAAACTGATATCCACTTGGATAAAGTGAAGACTGTATAGTCAAAATTAGGATATATATTTAATTTTACAATTGATTGAATGTTAATAATTTCACTGTTATCATTATTATTACAAAGATCTTCAGTTGTAATGTGAATTTTACGAAAAACTTGATCAACTCCCTTAAAAGCTTTCATTTTATCTTCCTAATGCTAAATAGACACATTTAGAGTGAATATAACACCCAACATTGATTGATTTGGAAGTATCACATTAATTCATTTGAATTGACAAATGGAAATCGATTTCCAAATTTGGTAAAACTTGATATACATATAAATCTAGCATATATTTTTATCTGAAAAATTAATATTAAGAGATGCGGATTTTGTTGCTAGTTTATCAGCATTTTCATTATTTCAATTGGTTCAGAATAATGAAGAGTTTTGTTTATCTTACAGAAGATGATAGTGCATCAAATTTATTTAATAAATTATTATTATTGTCATAGTTGGCACCAATAAAAAAATAAAGTGTATAAATATTTAAACTAGAAAAGCTTTCATTCTGATAATATTTACTCACTAATGCAGAATAATGATTGACAATCAAGCAATCTTTACAACAACCTCAACAACAATAACAACAAAGTGTTCAAAAAGTAGCTTCTACTAATAATGACTATACATGGGATGGTAATTATTTTGCCAAAACGTAATACGTAATTACGAAATTAATTACGAAATCAATTACGGGTGACAAAATCAATTACGAATGACGAAATTAAATGACACCTATTATTTATCTCGTTATATTAGTATAATGTCATAATTTGTCAACTTTTTTAGAATTATAGAATTTATTTTGTTATAACAACATGTCAGTATAATTGGGAGAACCAATCAAAATCATTCTCATTTCTGAAAAAAGTCATAAGGAAATAAAACTTACGCCGGGATCAAGATTGACCAGCATCATGGAAAATTCTGATAACACTTCTGTATAATGCTGATCAATTTTGACCTGACATGGGGCATGCTGCAACAAAACCAGACAAAGTGAACATTGGTATTACCAAATATTTCAGGGATCAAAAATTTAGTCATTTGTAATGTGATTACAATTGATTGTTTTATAATATCCCATTTGTTATCTTAAGTGATATATAGAACTATCCCTGTATAAAAATAGTTAAGATGAAACTCA